AAGTAATAAGTCAACAAGCGAGTCAACAATAAAGTGCCAATTTGTTATAGTAAGAAAATAGAGACTTAGGTGCAGATGTAAGGATATGATGTGTGCTGTGCATAGGGCAAGGCTTGGAATTAGCCAGGAAATGCTAGTGTGAACACAGGGCCCTGTGCTCCTTTATTGAGCAATCAGAGTTTACCCAGGAGGCCAGGAACTGTCCCAGCCTGCCTGACCAGGGGAAGCCCCCATGGTGCTCACTCAGTGGGATGATTTGAGGAGCAGAAACCTCTACTTCCAGTCAGGGTGCCCACAAACCTCGGCTGAAAACCAGTGGTTTCCTATCCTTGCTGCGTATTAGGATCAGCTGGGGAATTTTAGAAAAATATATACCTCATACAGCCCAGGTCCTGCCCTGGACAAACTACGAATTTCTGGGCTCTGGGGCAAGTATTTCCAGAAGTGCCCCAGGTGCTTTGTGGCCCTCAAGAAGGATGGGACCCACTGTTGACCCAAGGCTTTCTGATCCTTAGGAAGCCCTGTATAAGCCTTTCTCGGTTGATGCCATGGTGGTGCAGCGAGAGACCTGAGCTATGTGCACTGGTGAAGTCCAGAGGGCACCAAGATAACCTTTTATTGCTCAATGATTTTGCTACAGCTGTTGCTAGACATGCAAATATTGAGCTCTATGGCCTTGTCTCCAAGTTGAAGAAGGAAAAATTTTGAGGTGTTTTTAAATAATCTTATTGTTTTTTCGAACAACTTTGCTTGGATATACTTCACAAACCACAAATTCACCCAGTTACAACATACAATTCAATATTTGTTGAGATATTCACAGGGTGGTGTAAGCATTACCTCAAGTTAATTTTAGAATTTTTTTGTCTGTTTGTTTTAATCAAAGACATTTCAGAAGCACACTAGCACTGGGTACTCTCATAGCTGGGCTTAGACTTGAAGAAGTTCTGTTTCTGCCATCTTTCTTTTGCATGTGTAAAAGTTTATTTGATTTTTATCTTAATTCTGTGCAAGGTGTACCCTTGTCTGTGCTGTATCAGGGTGTATCTGAGTAACAATAAGGGAATGCCCAAGTGCTGGAAGGTCCTTCCTTACCTGGGTGAGAGCATAGGCTCCAGGCCTTACTGCTCCGAGCTCTTGTTGATTTCCTGACAGGTTTATGGGTTTGCTATGGTAGAACATTTTAAGCATATAAATGCTGTCTCCCAGAATGAGGACAAGACAACTGTACTTGCCAAATATGTGGTGATGTCAGAGGCTGGAAATAGTTTGGAAAGCCATTCCTTTTTGAGGGAAGAGGAAAGCCCTTTATCTGATTTGTTTACCTGCCTCTGAATTCCTTCCAGTCACACATCACCCCTCTATCTATCCTTCATCTTAGCTCCATGTGGTTTCCGGTCCTCTGTGGCCTTATCTTCCCAGTGAAATATACACTGCTTTAGGGCTGTTCTGCTTGTCCTATCTTTGGCCTTGTCTCCAGCTGCTAATACAGGCTGAAATTTATAAGTATTGTGTGTGTGATTAATTTTCTAAAACAAACCAGTTTTAGCATAGAAAGGTTTTATTTTGCTTTTGTTGTTTTTTTTTGTTTGTTTTGGTTTGGTTGTTTTCATTTTAGAGTATTGGGTGAGATTTTCTTGATATGAATCCTAAGATATCAACTAGCTTTTAATCAGATCCAACATAGCCCAGCGTCTGGCCATAGACGATAATCCTGATATATGGTGTAACTGAGGATAGTCTCACCTTGGAGATCCTCAATGTCTTTAGCCAAAGAGCCAGGTGACAGTGTGTACACTTGGAGTTGCCATGGGTAAACTCTAAGGTAACCACACAGGAGATGCCTAGCACCTGGATTAGCACAGAGTAGATGCTTAGAACATATTAGTCCCTTTTTCTTCATATAGAAGAGTCCTCAGATTTATCAGGTGTGGGGTTCAGTTCTCTTTCTCGACCTCTCTCTCTTTCCTTTCTCATGTTTCTCACCTCTCCCCGCCCCAACAGTTACATGTAGCAGTAGTAGACAGTCTTTTCTCTTTGCTTTTAGAAAGTATGGCTTCAGGTTCCTGAGCCAGATCAAATTTGACATATATCCTTCCTAAATATTTCATTTCACCAGCTCAATTATATTGAAAGTGCCCAATTATTCCATGAATTAAAAAACCAGGCACTTTGAATCTCTCTCAGTGAAAAGATACAACCGATTTTACCTCATTAATAGACTGCTGAATATTGCATAAGCCCCAAGAAATGGTCAGAGCAATGGTTTCTTTTTAAGTTACGATTTACTGGAAAGTGAATGGCTTTAGTCATTCTTGTTAATTCTCTTAGAGTGATAATGGTGTTGGAGTTATATGGGAAAAAGTCCTCAATTTAAAGAGATGCTTGGTAAATGTTTAGGGGTACAGTCTTAAGATATCTGCAATTTACTTTCAAACGCAGGTACATATACAAATATGGATAGATCTGTCTAAAGTCCATGCAAATATGTCAACAATGTTAATTGTTGAATCTAAGTGGTGGGAATATGGCATTCATTGTATTATTCTTTCAACTTTTCTGTAGAGTAGAAAAATGTTATAACAAAAAACCTGGACTAAAAAAACCCAAAGAAGCTGGAAAAATATAATCCATACAGTTCCTAAAAAATGTTACCCTTTGATTTATAAGTGATATTTGTTTATGTCATATTCTTTAGTATATTATAAAAAAGCTTTCTATTGAGAGCAAATATTTTTTTTGAAATCACAAAATATCAAGTCTTATAATACATAATTTTATAATTTGTCATTATAACTCAACATTTTAAAAAGTATTATATATATAATTATATAATATATGTATTATATATAATATATATAAAAGTATATAATTATATAGAGAGATGTATCCCTCCCAAACTATTATTTGGAACCTACATAATTTTGGGGGATCTTGAGAAATTCAGGGGAATCAGGTAAGTGCTGATGTTGGTTAATCTGAAGGACTGCAATTTTAGAACACCACCAGGAAACAACTTCTAAAAAATTTTTAAAGAAAAATATCTGTATACCAATATTTTAGAGAGTAAAGGCTGTGCATTTACTGTAGGGTAATAAATCATAATATATATTCGCCCCATGAGTAGGAAGCAGAGTGAGACCCTGTAGAGAACATGGAACCTTATACCAGACAAGAGCAAATTGCCGTTTTCAGTTTCTCATTTGTCAAGTGGAATAGGAACACCCCCTGACAAGTCAGTGAGGCACTGTAAACAATGTGCTCAAACAATGGATATTGACTGTTGTGTTATTACCTGTCACTAATCTCACAAAAATATGGAATTGGAGATAATAAATGAATGTGATATCACGGGTCTAAATAGACAAGTTCTGGAAGGAGACAGATTGGCTAAATCTCTGTCACTGTAGATCTGTCCCTTTCAAGTTTTATCTCCAAATGTTGTATAGTTCTTCCCCCACGCCTGACCTTTAAAAACCTTTTGCTCACCAATTATTCAAAAACTTATTAATTGCCATCTTGCTCTGATACATATGTGAGTCTTTCAATGTGTCCTTTGTTTTTTGTTTTGTTTTGTTTTTTTAAGATTCATTAACTACTCTCAACTGTGGACAAACAAACCCTTGCCTGGGACATGAGGTAGAACAAGCCCTGTAGAGGGCTTTGTTCACCACGCTGGTGCAGCCTGCCTGCTCTGCTGTGGGTTCCGTCCACTAATTCATGAGTCTTTCGTTTGGGGAAGAATTTTCCATTTGTGAAAGTGTTTTTTTTTCTAGTTTCTTTATACAAAGAGTTACTGAAAAATTTCAGCCATGTGTCTGGTGTTCCTTGGCCTTTTTTTTTTAAACTGAAACATCTATTGTTATGATTAAAAGAGATGTTATCTTATTTCATTTAGCATGTTCTAGTGACAACAGATTTTAAGGCAGAAAACCTGCTTTGTAAATTTTTTTTTAATTTACTAGGTGTATCTCCTTGTGAAAATCATACCAGGTGACTCTTATTCTTAATTTTCTTTATCCACAAAATCTCATGAGCCTTTTTTATTGTCAAATAAGAATGTACATGAAAGCGCCTTATGAATAATAATGACATAAATTATTGTTACTATTATGATTATTGACATTCTTCTTAATTTGACTACTATCATTGGCCTACAAATCCAGGTTATGAATCTGCTCAAGGGAACGTAATAGGACTTCATATTTTGGTTTAACTGAAGGTGATTGGGATTGAACCAAATGATGAGCTTTTATTTTCTTTTATTTGGGCTCCCTTTTCCCACATTCCTGCATATCCCACAAAAAAAATAGTAATAATAATAATGATAATAATTTTTGTACCCTCAAAACAAACGAGCATATAGGTTACTCGAAACTTTTATGTAGCACATAAAAATACTAGCATTCATCCCTGGTGTCCTAGTGAGAAAGATAATTCTGTTTCTGGACATAATGAAATTCTAAAGCCATAGTAATGGAAGTCGTAGGTATGGTTTTTCCACTTTCTGGTTTCTCTTTCTGCCTTGGTGAGTACTCAGGGCAATGAGGAACTCTTAAGAGCCATCAGAAGTGGTGGTTGACTTGGAAGCTGTGGTTCTCCCTCTTGTCCGTGCCGAACTGAGGCTTGTGTATGGCATTAGGTTCAACAGGGACCTCAGACATCTCATCTCCACGAGGAACCAGACGTCTCCAACACTGGCAATTTGGGCTTTAAAATTCCATGAGGCATTTCACAGGAGATGAGATGCCGCCGTGGTATCAGATCTAGATCTGGTTAATTACAGACTGACTTTCTATATCCCAAATGAATGTATATTGTTTCCCTTGATTTTTGAAAGCCACCCACATCGGTGTAGACTTAGCAACACTCTCAGGAGGAAGATTAAAGGGGTCCTTGTTTTTAACAGTCTATATAGTTAGCCCTTTTGGATTAAAGTCAGTATTATATTATTTGGTATCACCTCCCTCTATTAAATATTATCTTTTTTTCTTTAATAGCATGCCAATGATAAAAACGGTGGATCACCGACCAGATCAGGAGACAAGAAAGGATCAGATGAGGTAATTCCCACAATATTGGGTTTTCATTTTCTTTGGCTTTTAAATTGTGAATTCTGCCTTGAAACAAATAATGAGGTAGCAGAAAAGCTCCTACTGGAATAGTTTTAACTCAGATTTGATTCAAGAATTCAAGTGGGAATCATTTAAAAATAAATATAAAATAAAGTGCACTTGGAAAAGGAACCTTTAGTAATAGAAGTCAGTTAGTTAGAGTATTTTTCCTGTAGCGATTGGTGAATGTTAAATGTCTTGTTGACCATGGCAGATTGATAAGGAGAAACCAAATGCTGCAGAGAAAAAGAAATCCTTTTTCATGAGAGTGCCCTGTGAAAGGAGGACAGTGATGACCCGAGATTATGTAGTCATTCAGGTTCATAAACAAAAGGAAAAGAGAAAGACCTATTTTTATTTGCATTGATTCTGTGCAAATACTAGTAAAAACCAAACCTCCCCACTTTGAGAGGGGTTTTCTGGGAGCCTGTGAATTTCTCCTTTCACTTAACGAGGCCCCACCATGGTATGCACTGCCCACCTTGGCCTGCTTCTCCGTGGAAGGGCCATGTGAAAGTGCTGTCCTTCAAAAGGGCACTGGACTTGCCTCCCTTTTGCTGCTTTTCACCTTCTAAATCTCGGTGGATGTGTTCATCTTCATTCAATAGAAACTGGGTCACTTCCAACTTGTAACATGGCCAGGTCCTGAAAGATACGAGGAAATTGAGAAAGCATAAAGTGATCATTTTCTTTTTCTCTGTATTATCAACATGTTTTCAGAAATTTAGCTCTTCTCCCTGCTTAGTTTCTACCCTTCTGAAATATATTTCAAATACTCAATATTGTAAGGGGTCCATTATGGCTAATAGCTGCCAGGGATCCTGCAATAACGTTTACTTCCCTGCTTTCTACTGCTGTTTCTATTACCAGTACCCTTAAAAATATAATGTGGATGATTTCTTACCGAGAAATATGTAGTGAATTTTTGTACCCATGGAAGGCGAATGTTTCTTTGAAAAGCAAAAGTAAACTTTTATTAAGACTGTATCCCGTTTCTTGGTTAAATTATTAAAAAGTAAACTTCCGTATGGAGAAACAACATGTTTTTTCTCTTTTACAAGCATGAAAATCTATATATCGTTCAACCCTACCCTTTAAATGTATTCCCAGATAAGTTATCTATCAAATAATTTCCTGTTTGAAAACTAGTTTTTTTATTCCCCAGATCAGGAAATAATTATTATAGATGTTACTCTCTATTAACATTAATCAAGATTAAACTATTTGCACAAGAAAGGAAATCTTTTCAAATACATCAAGTGAAGAGTAGGCTAGTTCTTTTTTTTTTTTTTTTTTAGCTGAGCCATCCTGCCACCTGTTGGCAGCTAAGCGGCTGCTCAGCTCGGGCCAGGAATCGAATCCCTGTTGCTCAGAGCTCAAACTCTTGAGCGAGCTCTTAACCAACTGAGCCACTCGGCCGGCCCTAGGCTAGTTCTTATAGGATCATTCCCACTAATTACATTGTTATGTGGAAGCTTAAATATTACATCTGGAGTGTCCAGGCATTGTTGGTTTAGACAACCACTGCTAGCAGAGTGTTAGGGCTTTTTATATATCCGGACTATCAAGTATCTGACTATTTCGGTATTTATAAAGGGCTTGGGAAAACTGATAAGGAGCCCTGTTACAAATGCACCCGGGGGAGAACTGGAGGTTTCTGTGTCAGTGGAGATAGACTGCACTTTCAGTTTGAAATTGAAAGGCTCAACTTCTACCTCAAGAAGAGGAAGAAAGAACTTTACATATCTTTATCATCAGTTCAAGCAATTCCAACATTGTTTCATAACACTTTTCAGAAAGTCAGATTTACAGCTCCTGTACTTGTGCCAAAGCCTGTACAAGTGGTTTGTTCTGCTCTGTCGCAGCCAACAGAAGCAAAGAGGGGACAGAGGCTTTTCCTCACTCCCATGGTGTAAATCACTGTAGAGATTCATATAGTGTGAGATGGAAGATTGATCTTCTCTCAGCACATTCTGCCCATATATATTTGACAGGGTGGACAGGTCTGTGGGTGGGAGGATTTGGTAGTCAAGGTATATTTCCAATAATGGTCTGTTTCTAAGGAGTCTCTAATTCTTCATGTCATATCTCTGATTCATTAAGTTATGTGCAAATAAGTCATGGATAAGATATTGTGGCCCTGGAGACAATTCAAAGAAATCATCCTGCGTGAGGCATTCTTTTAGCCTTTGTGTTCACGATGATAAGACCATGTACAATCTGGATTTGTTACCTGCTCTGCCTACCACCCATGGTTGCTCTTGTCTTCTCAAGATTACCAGAAAAATATTTCCCTTAACTGATTGTTTCTCCCATGTATTTTTCTCACCTACTGCTTTGTTGAATAAGAAGTGAGATTAGGACGCTTAGTTTGGGATTTGGTAATTTATTTCCAAAGTAGCATGTGCCTCCGAAGGTTAAATAATGCATTGTCCCCAAGCATATGCAGACATACTGGTTAGGCTTCCAAGGACAGACCAGGCCTTTGAAACAAAGTCAGTTTGAAAATTTGCTTTCTATGCTCAGGGGTTCTTCTTGGCATTCTTTTCTTCTCCTTTTATTACTCTGCTGCATTTCATTTGGAGGTGCAAGAAAAAGGGTACAGAGGAGGACTTTGGGAAGTCACAACCAGGAGAAAAACTATTCAGGTTAGGTAAGAACCACTATTATGTTGTCATACGAGTATGTACAGATGTCTGGGGATGAATGCAGCTATGTAAATTTCAGAGTGATTTCTCTCTTGCTATATCATAAATAGTTCTTACTTGTTTGGAATGTGACCCCTAGGTAGCCATTAAGTGGCCCTAAGATGTCTGCGACAATTTTAAAATATAATTTTTCATGTTGCTTTTGCAGTGCAAATGCTTGATGGAGTCGAGTAAGTGTCTCTGAGAAAGTATTTGTCTGTTTATACCAATCTTTATAAATTTAAGCCCTTCTCAGATGTAGAGGAATTATAAGCCCAAAAGTTGGAAAGACTAACAAGCCAAAGATAAAGTGACGAGAGAGCAGGAAAATGAAAACATTTAACGTCAGCACCTTTAAATACAGTGGAACAAGGAAGTCTTTCCAAACCTGCCATCAAATCTATTTAAAGTATTTAATTGACAAGTCTGGCCACCCTGTGGGAGTGGAGCATTTTAGCAACATGTTTCAGTGAAGTCCTGAGGAATGGAATTGAAAGCATAAGACAGGCAGATTCTCACAGAGTCCATTTTAAGAACTCAAATTTAATAATAGATATATTTTTATGGGTAAAGAATAGGTGATATAAATAGGATAGAAATTCTGCCATATATATATATATATATATATATATATAGGCATTGTTGGCATTCTTTTCCTCAGTATTTATCTTACCTTCTTCTAAAATGCATAAATTAAGTATTGAATGGCTCCAACTTTTCTTTTACATTTTTCCTCTTAATGAAATGAGTCTCTTTTAATCACAAAAGTTATGTGTACTTGTGGGAAAACAAACAAACAAAAAAACAAAAAAAATTATTACCCAGAATCTTACCGCTTAGTTATAAATACTGCTACAAAATTTTGTGTGTATTCTCAGATATGATAATATTGTGTTCATACTTATTATATATACTGATTGAAATAACTTATTAAGGATCATACAGCTAAAATATAGTCATTGAAGAAAATGTAATAAGTACTGAAGACTTTAAAGAAAAAATATCACTATCTCGAATTCTAGTTCCCAGAGAAATCACCACTACTTCCATGTTGGTGTATTTCTCTGCATCTTTTTTTCTACATGTGTATTATTAGGTTTAAGTTGAGATAACAAAGGAACGTCGTTAACAGGGCCTAGAATGAAAATCATAAATAACATGCTTTGTGATAGGTCAACCTTTTTCAATAAATAGAAGCGTGATCGTGTGTGTGCCTTTTAAATATGTAGAAAATCATTATTCAATCATTATCATTTAATATAGCATTTAATATGGCCATTATTTTGTGCTGTGTTTTTGAGGGAGGAAATCATAAGACGTCTCCTGGAACAAGCAAGTGATTTAGCAGTTGTTAGCAAATTTTGGACGTTATTAGCTAACTCTGGACGACTATACATCTTTCTAAGGGATTCTGGGTCATGACAAGAGTCCATATTAATTGTGGGAGTTGACTGTGGCTGCACAAGCTTATGTCCAGTGCCAAAAAAGAGGCAAAGCTGAAGAGGTGCACCGAGGGCAGCTCCCCCAGGCTTACCTGGAGATCCAGACTCTAGCAGCCAACCCAGAATTCAACTGGTGTCTGATTCTGGAGGTTAAACTGCCTAAGGGAAGGACAGAAATTCTTTTCGACTGCAGTCTCCTCGTTTTTTTAGTTCTAAATTTTTATTTAATTCTTCACTGAATTGAACATTTTTAAAGATAACTTTCTCAAGGGAGGGAGCACAGATGGTGATTTTCCAACTCTGTGTGGAGCTGAGCATGTTTTTCTGCTTGCTTCACACACACACAAAAAATGTACAATATTCTTGGACTACAGTTCTAGTCCGTCTATTGTACCTGTCGCTCCATGATTTTCTGGCTTTTTGTGCTATAGCATAGATGTCTGAGGAAGCCTAATTTTAATTTATTTTTAGAAAGCTTGTTTTTCCTGCCTTGATACATATCTTTTCTTTTGTTCTTACAATTTAAAAAAAATTGTAAGGATGCGCCTACATATGTGTTTCTTTTTATTAATTTTTTTCCTGGAATGTCTTATTTAATTATTGCTCTTATTTTCATTTTTCTTGTTTCTTTTATTTATTTATTATTTATTTATTTATTTTTTAAGCTGAGCCATCCTGCCACCTGTTGGCAGCTCAGCGGCTGCTCAGCTCGGGCCGGGAATTGAACCACTATTGCTCAGAGCTCAAACTCTTGAGTGAGCTCTTAACCAACTGAGCCACTCAGCCGGCCCTTTTTCTTGTTTCTTTTAAAACAGACATA